AAGGGGGGAAAAGCACAAATATACAAGATAACCACTGAAACAGTAAATTTTATTTTATTTTATTTATTTTTATTTTTTTTAATGTTTTATTTATTTCTAGGAGAGAGAGAGAGAGACAGCGTGAGCAGGGGAGGGTCAGAGAGAGAGGGAGTCACAGACTGAAACAGGCTCCAGGCTCTGAGCCGGCAGTCAGCACAGAGCCCGACGCGGGGCCCGAACCCACAAACCGCGAGATCATGACCTAAGCGAAAGTCGGACGCTTAACCGACTAAGCCACCCAGGCGCCCCATGAAACAGTAAATTTTAAAAATCATGAGACTAACTCTGCAGACTTTTAAACAAATTTGGAAACTTATATAAAAATGTATAATTTCCTAGAGAAATACAGACTACCAACATTGATTCCATTAAAGTTAGAAAGCCTAATCAGATAGAAGAAACAAAGTTATTAGAGAACTGCCTCACAAAAATTATCCAGTCCCAGATATGCACAACTTGTACGAGAAAATTTTAAAAGTCTTGAAAGGACCAAAAGCAGATTTGAGAAATGCAAAGACATCTCACCTTGGACAGAATTCAACATTATAAACATTTCGGTTCTCCCCAATTTGTAAGCTCAATGCAACCCAAGGAGTTTTATGGACTTAGATTGAAGTGAAGTGGTTCTTCTGAATATACTTTTTTGTTTAAATACATTAAAAATAATAAAATCAACAAGGATGGGGGAAAATGGAATAAACAAGCAAATGGACTGAACTAGATTTCAAATGAATAATTTCACCACAATGAAGAAGGGGGAAGAACCAACCCAAATAACTTTTGAAAGAAGTATTTTGACTATGTATCTTCAGACTAAACCACAATTGAAATAGATAATATGTTGTTTTACAGTGGAATCACTTAACAGTTCTCTAACGATTGACTTTTACTTACTGTATTTTAGGACTGAACAAACAAGAATATTGAGTGCCAGTTTTTCACTCAGAGAAGAGAAATACAAAAATAGAAAAGTGGAAAACAGGAAACAATATGTGTTGAAGTGGAATTGTAGGTTTAGTATGAACTCACAGGGAGACAGATCAAAGTGTGCGTGGTGTATACATGTGTATTTCCCAGCTAGGGGGACTAGAATCAGTGATGCTCCAGTAGGAATGGGCACACCTAGCACCCATATCCTGTCTCCTAAATATGCTCCTCCTCCGTTTAAAGGAACTAGGGCTTTTTGGAGAAATGGCTAACTCAAAGCTGAAGCAGGGAAAGTACAACGATGAGCCTGAATGTATTAAGCTAGAAAGCAAAGAAGCACTCAAAGAATGATGAAGAAATGCCAAAAGGAAACAGAAACAATTGCTTTGAAGGGACTCCCACTGGCCATAAAGAAACAACAGAAGTATAAAAAATAAGTTAATAGTAACAGATTATAGCCCATTCAATAGAATAGGAATCCATGAGTCGATACTCATTATTTTTTTAATGTTTATTTATTATTGAGACAGAGAGAAACAGACAATGGGGTAGGCTCAGAGAGAGAGGGAGACACAGAATCTGAAGCAGGTTCTAGGCTCTGAGCTATCAGCACAGAGCCTGACACGGGGCTCAAACCCAAGAATCACGAGATCGTGACCTGAGCCGAAGTCGGACACTTAACCGATTGAGCCACCCAGGCATCCCCCAATAATCGTTATTTTCAAAATTAAAAGCTCTTCCTTACAGTAAAATGTCAAAGGAAAAACTGGATTAGAAAATCACCATTTCACAGGGGCGTCTGGGTGGCTCAGCTGCGTAAGTCTCCAAATCTTGATTTCAGCTCAGGTCATGATCTCACAGTTTGAGTTTGAGCCCCTCATCAAGCTCTGTGCTGATAGCATGGAAGTTCCCTCCCTCTCTCTCTCTGACCTTCCCCCAAATGCTTGAGCACTCTCTCACTCAAATAAACCATAAAAAAATAAAAATCACCAATTCACAAATGTAGTAATTACTGATTCAGGCAAAACTCATCAGTGGATGTGAAAACTAATAGGCAAGCTGAAATTTGAGGAAAAGATGATCTACCAAATCTCAAAATATCTCCCTACAAAATATTATTTTTAAGATGAAAAACAGCAACTTTTCAATGGGAGAAATCTGACAGACAATATCTCAAGTGATCAAAGTTATCATCAGTAATAGAACAAACGGACATCATATGCATCCAGATATAACATACTGAGAAGATACCTAACTTTTGTGGTGCTCCTGCCAAAAATATAGAACCTCAATCTACTCAGGAGCAAATACAGACAAACTAAAACTAAGGGACAGTCTATAAAGTAACCAGCCTATACTCTTCAAAAATGTCAAGATCATGAGAGTCTAAGTCAGTCCCTTCCAAACATCTTCTCCCATTCTGCAGACCAACTTTTAGTTTTGCTGGTGGTCTCCTTCACTGTGCAAACGCTTTTTACTTTGATGTTGTCCCAAAAGTTTATTCTTGTTTTGTTTCCCTTGCCTCTGGAGACATATTTAGTAAGATATCTAGTAAGAAGTTCCTATGGCCAATGTCAAAGTAGTTACTGCCTATGTTGTCCTCTAGGATTTTGATGGTTTCCTGTCTTACATTTAGGACCTTCATCCATTTTTAATTTATTTTTGTGTATGGTAAGAAAGTGGTACAATTTTGGGGCGCCTGCGTGGCTCAGTCAGTTAAGCGTCCAACCTCGGCTGAGGTTGTGATCTCACGGTTCGTGGGTTTGAGCCTCACGTCGGGCTCTGTGCTGACAGCTCAGAGCCTGGAGCCGCTTCAGATTCTGTATCTCCCTCTCTCTCTGACCCTCCCCTGTTCATGCTCTGTCTCTCTCTCAGAAATAAATAAAACATTTAAAAAAAAGTTAAAAAAAAAGTGTTCAGTTTCACTCTTTTGCATGTTGCTGTCCAGTTTTCCCAACATCATTTGTTAATATATAAAGAACTTATAAAACTGAACATCCAAAAAACCCAGTTAAAAATTGGCAAAAGATATGAATATATTTTTCTGAAAAAGGCATACAATGGCTGACACATGAAAAGAAGCTCAACATCACTCATCATCAGGCAAATACAAATCAAAACTACAACAAGGTATCACCTCACACCAGTCAGAATGGCCAAAATTAACAACATAGGAAACAAGAGGTGTTGATGAGGATGTGTAGAAAGGTCAATCCTCTTACACTGTTGGTGGGAATGCAAACTTCATGCTTGCAGCCACTCTGAAAAACAGTATGGAGCTTCCTCAAAAAGTTAAAAATAGAACTACTCTATGATCTGGCAATTGCGCTACTAAGTATTTACCCAAAGGATACGAATACATGGATTCAGAGGGGTCCATGCACCCCAATATTTATAGCAGCATTATCAACAATAGCCAAATTATCAAAAAAGCCCAAAGGTCCATCAATTGATGAATGGATAAAGAAGATATATACAAAGGAATATTACTCAGCCATGAAAAAGAATGAAATCTTACCATTTTCAATGCCATGGATGGAGCTAGTCAGTAAGACAAATACCATATGATCTCACTCATTTGTGGAATTTAAAAAAGAAAATAGATGAACACAGGGGGGTAAAAAAGAAAGGCAAGCTAAGAAACAGACTCTGAACTATAGAGAACAAACTGAGAGTTATTAGAGGGGACTTGGGAGGTGGGAGGGGTTAAATAGGTGATGGGTATTGAGGGCAGTTGTGATGAGCGCCGGGTTTTGCATATAAATGATGAATTACTACACTCTACACCTGAAATTAATATTATACAATATGTTAACTGGAATTTAAATAAAAACTTGGAAAAAAAACAAAACAAAAAGAAAGTCAGACTAAGAAATGATTTCAGATTAAAGGAGGCTAAAAAAACATTAACTAAGGGGTGCATGGGTGGCTCAGGTCATTATCTTGCAGTTCGTAAATTCAAGCCCTGCGACAGGTTCTGTGCTGACAGCTCAGATTCTGTGTCTCCCTCGCTCTCTGCCCCTCCCCCACTCACATTCTGTCTCTCTCAAACATAAATAAAAATTTAAAAAGAACTAAATGCAACACATGCTCCTGAGTTGGACCCTAGACTACATTTTCTTTTGCTATAAAAGAAACTACTGAAACTCTAGAAAAATATGAATATGGCCTTCCAATTAGACAACAGTATTATGTCAAGGGTGATATCTTGTTTTGATAATTTTATCACGTCAATATACATGTTTTTGTTCTTAGGAAAAATACATTGATATTTAGGAGGGAAAAGACATCATGGCAGCAACTTACTCTCAAGTGGTTCAGAGAAAGAAACTGTATATGTATCTAGAGAAGAAGCTATAAAGAAAATGTATTAGAACGTTAGCAATTAGAGGGGCGCCTGGGTGGCTCAGTCCCTGAAGCATCAGACTTTGGCTCAGGTCATGATCTCATGATTTGTGGGTTCGAGCCCTCCATTGGGCTCTCTGCTGTCAATGCAGAGCCTGCTTTGGATCCTCTGTCTCCCTCTCTCTCTGCCCCTCCCCTGCTCACACATATATATGCACTCTCTCTTTCCCAAAAATAAACATTAAAAAATAAATAAATAAAATGTTAACAATTAGGGAATCTGAGAGAATGACATAGGATTTTTCTGCACTATTCTTGCATCTTTTCTGTAAACCTGAAATTACTTCAAATTAAAAACTATTTTAAGCTTACTTCGCTTACATTGGTTCTTAAATATATGTACAAGAATTCTACATAATAAGACATCTGTTTAAATAAATATATTCTTCCATCAGTATAAAAATTCTAAATGATAAAGCACCTGGTCAGTTATTTGGTAGTGTGTTTGTTTTCAGCTGTAGACAAAGTAACAATGTATCTGACAATCAATGGAATCTTATATTCAAGGAAACAATGATTCCAAAGTTTCATAGGAAAATACTGCCCACTGATGGAAAAGGAAAAACCAATCTGGTCATATTTTCTCAGTTCAGAAGTCAAAATCACTATCACAAAATCACTCCACATACCTTGTATTGCTAGAATAATCCCACATGGCCACATCTAGGAGGCTCCGAACCCAGGTTTTAGAGGGCTCCTTAAGAAATTTTTGCTGGTAGATCCCCACTACAAGATCTTCTACAGTGAGAAGCTCTAGATCTTGCCTTATTGCTTTCATTGATAAATAGAAAGACATACAGTTAATGAATTTAGATACAGAGAAGATGTACATCAAAATGGAAACAAATACAGATGTTATAAAGCACTTGAACAGTAACTTAGTTTTACTTACCTGATGCCTTTGCCATATGCTTCAAACACCAGTTGACTCTGGCTCTGTCATCAGACTGGAGAAGGAAAAAAATTCACTTGTATTTTCTCCTACACTGAGTTGATTTTAATCAATTGCTGTTCTTTCAAACTGGGGAGGTGGGGGTGGCAGGAAGGGAAAGACTAAAGAGTTTGTGACAACTAAATGAGAACCATCAAAAAGAATAACATATTTTTAAAAACTACTGCTATTAACAGTTACATTTATAAAGCAACGTTAACAGACTTTGTGAAAAGCAAGGGAGACCTAGGGTAGGTGCATGAAGAAACCAACATGCAGAAAAAAGTAATCTGCTCATGGTTACACTAAACTAATAAGGTTAAAACCCAGTTCTTCAACTCCTAGTCTAAAAGAATTTCTTTGGGTACCTTCTGTGGATCTTCCGGTATCTAAGTGGATGCCTTAAAAAAAATGCTTACACTGACATTACCTTGCAGTAGACAGGTGGCCAGTTTCCTGGGTTTGGGTGAATAAACCCATAAAGGTCTTGTAACACAGTTGCTTGGTCACGCCCAGATTCAAAGTTTGAAATAGGGATCTTGTGACTAGAATCACCTGACGGAAACAAAAGGAGGTAGGAGTTCAAAATTTGACCGAGACAAATAGGACAAAGTGGGTAAGGAAGTAGGGTACAGGAAGAGGGTAGTGACTCATGTTCAAGCACGTATACCAAGCCTAGTTATAATTAGGTACTTTATTTTATCCAATATTCTTATGAGAAAGGTGATATATACCTATTGGAGAAGAGACAACACAGAAGTTAGTATAGTAAGTTAACAGTTGGTGATCAATGGGAGTCAGGATTCAAAACCAAGTTTAAGTGACTAAGCCTGTATGTTTTCATGATTCCCATCTGCTTTTCATGAATCTGTGTTATATGTGAGGCTGGAAAACTTAATAGCAATGATTGCTTTTTAAAAGATTGTATGATCAAGATTTCCACTTCCAATAAAAAATGGACCAAGTAATTCAGGCCAACCTTCCACAAAAATTTAAAATACTTGAGAATATCCAGAATACACAGTAGTGAGGAATTAATAGATCTAGATGCAAGAGAATACACAAATTCATAAAGGCTCTCCAGAGAGCCTCGCTTTTGGAGCAGGTTTCCCCTGCAGTTATTTACCAGCTCCAGAAAAGGAGCCGTTGAACGGCTGAGCAGTGTGCATTTGTCAGCTTCTGGGGCCCATTTGCTAGGCCCCCAGGATCTAGCAAAAGCAAACATAAATCTTTTCTGGAGGAAAGGAACATCACTATAAGCCTCAAATTAATTTTTTCAGCATAGTGGAGAAAATGGTGGACAGGAAGGCAGAAGCCCAAGAAGCCACAGTGAGCTGGAGCTGCCAGAATAATGAAAAGGAAAGTTCCAGCTGCAACACTAAGAAGTGAACTGGAAGCTGCAGACCTCTCAACAAAGCCTGCAAAGACCCCCTAAGTTTGGAAGCGCCATAGGTAGTCAGACAACAAAGCCTCGCCATATCCATCGAACTTGGACTACGTAAGCCTAAAGAAACTGTTCCAGCTCTTGCTCCAAAAACCCTTTCAGTAGCAGCAGCCTTTAATGAAGATGACGATACTGAACCAGAGGAAATGCCTCCAGAAACAAAGATGAGGATGAAAATATTGGAAGGGATACACCAGCATCATTAGGACCAAACTCCTTCAAGAAAGGAAAGCATGGTTTTTCTGATGGCCAGAACCTATGGAAGCAAAATATAAAATCTCATCTTGGAAATGTCCATGACCAAGAAAATTAAATGATGTGTTTTAAAATTGGGGTGTGGGGTGGGTATAAAGTTAAAAGGAATAGTTTCCTATTAAAAAGAATGGTAAAAGATTATCTTTAGGGACTTTAAGATTGGTACATTAAAAAATGAGTCTGAAATTAGAGGTAATTTATGTTTTATATTCAGATTTCAAGACATTTGCTAATTTTATAGTTTCATGTGATTAGCTTATAGATAATAGAAAAATCAGAAATGGTATCTAAGAATTGAACATTTTTTAGACACTACTAAGAGGGATGCAAAAAGTTATTATCTATTTAAACTGCAAGCAATTACTCTTAACTCCCTTCTTAATATAAACTGTCTCCCAGGACCAGCCTTACGGAGAGTGCTGTGCTGGGAAGATAATGTTATTAGACTACTGACTGAAAGTACGTTAGATAAAATTAAAATATGGCTTTTTTTTTTCCTAATGGGTATTTGTTTCAAGTCCCTATAAACTAAGTACTGCATTGCTATCAGCTGGTACAGATGCTTATTAGCTCTTTAAAAATTTTTTTCAGGGCGCCTGGGTGGCTTAGGTTAAGCGTCTGACTTCGGCTTAGGTCATGGTCTCGCAGTTGGTGAGTTCGAGCCCAGAGCCTGAAGCTGCTTCAGATTCTGTGTCTCCCTCTCTCTGCCCCTCCCTCACTTGCACACTGTCTCTCTCTGTCTCTCTCAAAAATAAATAGATATTTAAAAATAAAATAATTTTTTTTCATCTTATGTAAATTGTTAAGTATTTGAAATAGTACACTTCACCTGAATGGGTCTTGGCTACCTTTGTTAGTCGTCAAAGATCATCTGCTACCAAAGTAAATCAGTATATTGTGAATATGCTTCTTAGTTTTTGTTATTAGCTAGTTCCTGTAAACATTTCTACCAGGTCTTGAGGTAACTCATAAGGAAGTTGGGTTTCTTTTAAAATAGAAACTACCACCAAAAACTTAAATGTATGTATGATACTTAGATATTTGAGTGGTTTTGTTTTTTAAAAAGTAGTAACACCAAAAAAGCCACGTTGTATGAAGATGAAAATGAGAAAAACACACTTTCTATACCTTTGTTAAATCTTAATTTACTAACTTATGAAAATGGAATTTGACTTGAACTTAATACAAGAAATCTTCGTTAGTATAACAATATGGCTTATGTGAATTATTATACATATATTTTTTAAGTATTATACACATTAATCATGTACATTTTAGGTATTGAAAATAAATATAAAGAAAATACATCTTTAAATATATTCTATGGAATCTTCGACCACATATACATTGTTAGATCTATGTACTATAGGTTAAAAATTTTTTTTTTAGTTTTTTTAATGTAACAGTTAAACACATCTTTAACAGCATAGTCAGAGCTTTAAAAAAACATACAGTATAATGATTTCCTTGAAAATTCCTGCAATATTTAATTTGGAAGCAGCTTCAGACCACTTTATTGGTAGTAACTCGCGGAGCTTTTAAATAGGGATTAAGTCCAGAGAAGCAGCCTGTATCCCTAACACTTTGTTCATCTGCAGTGTGTACGTTTAAGTTTAAAGTGGAGCCCAAGTAAAACAATGGGATAGAACTGTTAGTTCTCACATGAGATACATTAACTTAACTTGCTTTAATGTAGGCAAACTTTCCACTTTTGTCCATTTTGCTGTTTATGTTAAAATAACATCCTTTCCAACATATTTGACTCAAATGAATTATTAACCTAAGGTCAAGACAGGAGAGAAAACGACCGAGATGAATATCTTTACTAAAATACCAATAAACTTGTCAAACTCAAACATTCTAGATGATCCAGGTACATGATGAAAGAAGAATGAGAACCAAACTGAATTTGACAGAAAGAGATCCAAAAGTATTCCAGTGACTGAAATTATTCAGCACAGATGGTAAATAATCATGCTATGATCAAATTATGAATTTTAGCCTAAAGTTATAAAAAAAGGACACAGAGGAAGAGTTCAGTTTCTGATAACGACAGACTAGAACTGTACAAATGACACACCTGCTTGAGAGCACTGCAGAGAGAAAACTGCAGTGAGAAATCAGGGGTCCAAAATCTTGGAGAAGAAGGAATCCTAGAAAGGAGATTCTGGCATTTGGGTTCACTGGTAATTTGGGGCATTTACGAATTCTGGAAGAGTATCTGGAAGAATTCAGAGTATCATGAAGCTGTCAGTTTTGTCCAAAACGATCTAAAGATTTAAAGGTGATTCCAACCTAAATTTAAACAAAGCTCTTTATGAAGCATGATACTCAGACTCTGAACTGTATGGAAGAGCAAAGGGTCAAGAATAGCTGTGACATTCCAAAACAAAGTCAAGGAACCCACGTAAATACTATCAAAATATTGTGTTCAATGATATGAACAAAACAAACAAACAAAAACCAAGCAGACCAACAGGACAAAATAAACAGACCACGAAGACCATGCATGTACAGGAGTGTGGCACTACATACTGAGGAACAAGCTGGTTAGTTAATAAAGGATGCTGAGGGCTGCCTGGTGGCTCAGTCTGCTGAGCATCTGACTCTCGATTTCGGCTCAGGTCACGATCTCACGGATCGTCAGTTCAAGCCCTGCATGATGCTCTGCACTGAGCATGGAGCCTGCCTGGGATGCTGTCACTCCCCTCTCGCCTGAGCGCACTCTCTCAAAATAAATGTTTTTTAAAAACACTAATAATAAATGATGCTGAGACAACTAATTATCTACATGCGGAGAAAAAAGAAATAGAACCTCTACTTCATACCATACACAAGTCAGTGCCAGATGGCATAAGAACTTGGATATGAAAAACAAAACTTAATAAAAGCTATCTTTATCACCTTCAGGTAGAAGAGGATTCTTAAATAAGACATTAAAAACCTTCAAACCCGAAGGGAAAGGAGGATACATTTACTAAATTAAAAATTAACACTTCTGTTCATTGGAAGACACCATAATGACAGTAAAAAAAAAAAAAAAATACAATGCATACACTGAAAACAGTTACCTGCAATTAAATCAGTAAGCAGATACATAATAAAATTCCCCAAAGCAATATAAAAGACAGTCCAATATAAAAATGGGGAAAAGGCAATATTGAGTTAATAAAAATACAAGTATGGAAACAAGCCCATAATGTTAATTACATAAAAGTTCAAAGAAACCAAAATTAAATATACCATTTAATTTTTTTAAATATGTATTCATTTTTGAGAGAGAACAAGCAGTGGAGGGGCAGGGAGCAAGGAACAGAGTCCAAAGTTGGCTCCCTGCTGACAGCAGAGAACCCGATGTGGGGCTTGAACTCATGAACTAGGAGACCATGACCTGAGCCGAAGTGGGAGGCTTAACCAACTGAGCCACGCAGGCGCCCATAAGTACACCATTTAAATACATATGTAGTCATAATAGAACTATTCAGAAAAGAGAAAATTATTAGCACAAATTTCCAAATAGTGTCTTTCTTATAAAAAGGGAGGGCGATACAATCAAGGAGAGACACAGGGACCTTCAATGATAAGGCACTGCCATTATTTCTTCAGCGGAGTGACGAATGCACAGCTCTTCATTAATATTCCTTACACCTTAAGTCAATGTTATATTCTTTGTGTATGAAGACTAATTTTAAAAGCTGACAGACCTTTTGTACAGGAAGCCAAAGCCAGTTTTCAAAGCTTTGCATTTTTTTAATGCAGAACTTCTCTCAAGAAAATTCACCAGTAACGGGCTCCGTGCTAACAGCCAGCTCAGAGCCTGGAGCCTGTTTCAGATTCGGTGTCTCCCTCTCTCTCTGACCCTCCCCTGCTCACGCTGTCTCTCTATCGCTCTCTCAGAAATAAATAAAACTTAAAAAAAATTTTTTTTAAATAAAATTCACCAGTAAAATGTACAGAAGCAGAGCTCCTCTAGTTAAGGTGGGGGAGTATGAGAAGGTCCAAGACCTCCGACTCCCATAGTCTCACACAGAATCTGAAGTACCTCTTCAGAGAAAAGCATGGCAGTGGGGGTGGGGAAATCAATAGATTCCATATCAAAATCTCTTCCAGTCTTGAAATTCTTTGATTCTAATGTGCTAAACCAGAACGCCCATCCATGAAGTATTCACCTGACTCACATATATTTCATAAAAGGCCAGATAGCACAGGAGCATCTGAAAGATCTACATGTACATTCCTTAGCTACTAAACTGCATCCACATGTAAATTTGCTTCAGCGTGCTCCCCTCTGAAACATGATCTTTTCCTAAGCATCAGGTTGATTACACCAGCATAAGCATTTTTAGTTATAATGTTGACACAGCCATCATCCTAATAGAATCATTTATTTTATTTAACTGGCACATTTCCCAGCATTATCAAATTGGCAATTTAAGACATGGATACATTGATGAGCTCCAAAAACCTAAGTTTCCTGAATGAACTGTGTTCAATTTTAATTAGTTTGAAATAATATATTAAGAAAACACTCTTGGAGTCTTTAATAGGTTTTTAAGAACCACATTTTCTGTTAATCTGGTTAGCTTGAAAATGTAAAAATAAGCCTTAAAAACTTATTTTTAAGTATTTATCAGAACCAGAATAATAAACAGTAAGCCAGTGGCACTCTCACAAATGAGTGTCTGACAAATCATAGGGATTCCAATGTGCTCAACAGATGAACAAACCAAAACCAGCTTAAGTAAAAAAGTGAAGTTAATTCACCAGCTAAGTTTCCAAGTTTTGTTTTACTATTTAGTTGAATAACCTCAGATGATGGAACACGTGGGGAGATTAGCTAGGTTCACTCTTAAAAAACTGCAAAAGAATTCTTCTGTTTTACAATTTTTTTCATTCAAAGCTACATAAAGGAACCAAAATAAAAAAACTTGCCCTTACCTTGTTCCACAGTCTATGGCCCTGATCCCAGGCAAACAAAAAAAGGGACTAGTACATAGTTTCACTAAGACTGGGAAAAACTCAAAGGACATAACTAAGAGTGACTCTAAAATGTTCTCTTCATTTATAAAGAACAGCATTATAAATGTTACATAAAAACTGCTTATCATGGTAGATTTGAAAACTATTTCTAACGTCAAACTTCTACAGGCTAGGTGTCTGCATTTTTAAGTAAAAAAGAAAACAACTTAATAAAATAATGATTTTGAATATAAAAAATTATCATGATTTCCATTCTAATCACAGAGGAAACTTGTTAAAACCTAGTTTCTAGAAGAGCTTAGTTCAGAGCTTAGGTATATAGTCATATCCTTTGGTGTCCCACAAGTCTATTTAATTCTGAAGTTTTTAAGGATCACATACACCATCTATCATTTCTATGAAGAGTCTCCAACAATAAGAGTATTCTTCCTCCAAATTATGTTTTATGCGTTCATTTAAAGCATCAAGTCTTAACCAGGTATATACATATTCAATGCCTATATTCTGCCCCATTCCTTTATACTTACTTGCAGCCTGACAATGAAACCGAAATCCTCGTGGAATTTCACCTACAATACAAAATATTTTGTTGAGAGAAGTTCTCTGGTTTTGCCATAGCAATATTTCATAGGATGACCAAGTCATAACATACATAGATCATTGTTACCACTATGTGAAAACACAAAAGATTAAATTTTCATAGAGGTTGTTTTGTTTTCCCAAAGGAATGAGGACTATTAAAGAATTCTGGTATATTGTCTAACCTACTCTAAAAAGGAAGTTACTCCTAGGGGGCACCTGGGTGGCTCAGTCAGTTAAGTGTCTGACCTTTGGTTTCAGCTTAGGTCATGGTCTCATGGGATGGAGCCCTTATTGAGATTCTTTCTCTCTCTCTCTCTCTGCCCCACCCCCTTTACCTTCTCTCCCCCAACCCCCATTTGCTGTCTCTCAAAATAAACTTTATATATATACTAATTTCTGTATATACATGCAAATACTTTCTGTGTATATACATATATATACACACACATATATACACATATATATATACATATATACACACGTGTACACACACACACACACAGAAAGTTACAGGAAAAAATACTAGGTAAAGAAAATTTGTGCTAAAGGAGTCTTAGCTAGGGGTCCAGAAGGCCCTTGATACAGGCACTCATGTATGTATTTCTCAAGAAAAAAAAAAAGTCTCCAAATTCTTTTTAATGTTTTACAATCATATGAAGAAAAGTAGTTAACTTATCCTAAGCAGCAAGTCTCACAAGTGTGAGTGGGATAATTAGTTTTCAGTTTTTCGGTCATCTGAACACAAGGAAAAGCACTGGCCTGTACTAATGAATTTTAAAGCCAGTGACAAAACTAAAGATGAAGTTCTCTTCCCAACCTCTTTCCCATTACTCTTCTCCCTATATAGCTCTCCCACTTGCCTTAGAGAGTATTACTGGTCCTTTATCTACTCTCTTGGCACCTGAACTGAATCCTATGTCTTCATTACTACCTCTTTTTCCTGAGTGGGATATCCAGAAAAAGAGGTATTGAGAATATCTGAGAAACTATTAAGTCCAAGGCTATTTCCATACCTTCTCTTGTATTCCTTAGAGCAGCCGACTACAGGAATTATTCCCACTTTACAGATAAGTTAGTAAGCTCAGAAAGGTTAATAACTTTGCTCAAGGTTACAAAGCAACAGCAAGTTACAAACTAGCAATCGTCGAGGTAAAGGATGGGTTAAAGAAATAAAAGAGCAAAGGTATAAAAAGCTTTTAGAAAATTCCAAGATATAAGGCCACAGGTAAGCAAACGCCAGGCTACACATTTTTAGGCACACTATCCACCCAACTCTAATGCTTTCTTGCGGTTAAAAGCTTCAACTAAAAACCACATATAAACACCTAATTCTTTTTTTTTTTTAATTTTTTTTTTTTAATGTTTTATTTATTTCTAGGAGAGAGAGAGACAGCGTGAGCAGGGGAGGGTCAGAGAGAGAGGGAATCACAGACTGAAACAGGCTCTAGGCTCCGAGCTGGCAGTCAGCACAGAGCCCGACGCGGGGCCTGAACCCACGAACCGCGAGATCATGACCTAAGCGAAAGTCGGAGGCTTAACCGACTAAGCCACCCAGGCGCCCCATAAACACCTAATTCTTAATGATTTTTTCAACCAATTATGATGAAGTCTTGTTACATTTTAAGAACTCAAGGATGCATCAGCTTTTAAGAAAATACTGGTAAATAGTCAAGATAAAATGCGTACTTTTTAAGATCTAGCCTCTACCCACTCTGAATACTTACCAGGATTTATAAAACTGTGGAAATCTGCCATAATACCTTCTTGGAGAGAGTATTTAACACAGCCTATTTCACAAGGGAGGAAGCGCTGTTCACAATGAGGAGGTAGTTCACCATGGCTAAAAATGTTCAAAAAATAAAAAATGCCTCCTAGGAGAGCTGAAAAAACAAAAAAAACAGTAAGACAACACAAATAGTTTACCCCTCTACAAAAGAAGGTTTTAGAACCATTTTCCCTGTGTTCCTATAATCCTAAATGAGCTGGAAACGAGAAAACTAATTATCGGTACAAGATAAACGAATCAAAATTTTTATACTTATATTTTTAATTATACTTATCAAGGATTACAGTGGTAACCACCCTGCATGAAGCAACAAAATTATTCAAATTTGCAGCCAGCTCTACACAATTTAGTTATACATATGCCTTGAATTTCAGGAATGACAGAAGAAAAGCTGTGACCCATATTCAACAAATACAAGAGGTTTGGGAAATAGAGCCAAGTAGAAATAGTGTAGAAAAACTGTATGATATAAATGGACAATTTAGTTCACTCTTTACTTTTTACCAATATACACAAGAATATCAACAAATTCTCTAAAGGAAGGAAGAAATAGAAGATTGTGAGAAGAGTTTTATATACTAGGGTTGACTGTTTAAGACTGTTAAAAGTTTAGAATTTCAATACATTCAGAACACAGTAAAAACAGCCAGAAGGAATAGATCTTATTAGCTAAATTCTTTTCCCGTCCCAGGCCAGCTCAATAATTCAACTTCTTTATAATTTAAATGTATTTTAAGGGTCTAGATACAAACACTTAAATCTAAGAAGTATATTTAGTAACATATGAAGTGGTTATTAACCGAGAGACCAGATTTTAGTATAAAACAAAATCTCTCCAGTGTTATTTCAACAAATGCAAATTAGCTGATCTTTTACCACTTTAGTGCCACTATAATTTGAACACTTGAAGCCAGTTATTTTGAAATGCAGGATCAAAATGAACAGAACACATATTTACGGATTGAAATATCATAGTGTTTTGAGCACTCACATTTATCTAAGCAAAACATGTTAGGATTATTATACCTTGATCATTTTTTAGAGACAACCTTGACATATCCGGGGGTGAAACATTCTGCTTTGGTACAAGCATGCCTGGCCTCCTCAGTGGGGTGCAAACAGGTTTCTAAAGAAGAAGAGAATTCATCACATCCTTAAACTCTTACTGGGCACTTTATCCATATACTTAAATTTAGCAAAATAACTGAAAAAACAGCTCACAGACTATTTCAGTAACCTCCCTAGGTCAATGAACCCCAATGAGTAAATAAACACGTATTTGTCACCGACATCAACACCCAAAGGTAGACATGGGCAATATCTCTAAATATGCTGAATCAAAAGGTGAGTAAACAACCAACTCAACTATTGCTGAAAAACACTTGCCCGCTACTGATAATCTAAAAACAATTTTTTTTAATGCCCACTACTCATAACCTAAATTAATCCCACTGAATCACATAATGTATGCTGGCCAGTGGCCAAAAGAACAAATATTCTAATATGGTTTTTGCTTAAAGTAAATACTGGATCATGCGGATTTCAAGGCTCAAGGAGGTATGTATACAACATGGCTTACATTTTGAGATGAAATGTCTTAGAAGAAATTATAGTTTAAAAAAATCAAAGCTCACAAGTATAACTAAGTATTAATGCAACTGATTAGAGCTTCTACTCAAACATACATCTACAAAATAAAAATGTCTCAAACCTAAAGCAAGCAAAGCTCTCTTGAATTTCAATCCAATGTTGGCAGTTTAAAAAAAAGAATGGAATTTTACTATGTAAGAATGGGAAGAACACAGAGGGAGGGGGAAAAGTCCACCACTACCCTGAATTTCTGTTAAATGTTTGTTTACTTTTACCCTGAATTTTTGTTAAATGTTTATTTATTTTTGTGTGTGTGTGTGCTCACCGTGGAAGGACAAAGATCCTAAGAGGGCTCCGCGCTGACACCAGAGGGCCCAGCGAGGAGCGTGAACTCACAGACCCTGAGATCAAGACCTGAGCCAAAGTCAGACACTTAACCCAGTGAGCCACCCAGGAGCCCCAACCCTGCATTTTCTTGATACCAATCGACAAGAAAATTTCTATTTAATACACTACCATTCTACCAATCATAACTTCATCTAAATAAACTCTATTCAACTCTAATCTATAAGGCACACTAAACACACAAAACCCATGGGCAAGTTTCGTCATTTCAAAATTTCAAACACAACAACTGGTCTGGTTTCAAGTGCCATTTAAAAAGAAAGAATGGGGGCGCCTGGGTGGCTTAGTCGGTTAAGCGTCCGACTTTCGCTTAGGTCATGACCTCGCGGTTCGTGGGTTCGAGCCCCGCGTCGGGCTCTGTGCTGACTGCCAGCTCAGAGCCTGGAGCCTGTTTCGCTCTGTGACTCCCTCTCTCTCTGACCCTCCCCTGCTCACGCTGTCTCTCTCTCTCTCCTAGAAATAAATAAAACATTTTAAAAAATAAAATAAAATAAAATAAAATAAAATAAAAAAAGAAAGAATGGCCCAAGCTATGTTCAAACATTCAAAAAGGGAGTCTTTGATCCTCAAGGGGTTGAGAGGAAGCCTTAAAGACCATCTAGTACAAACCTAAAACCCAAGTCTCCCCCTGCTGATCACGGCTTATTGGCTGCAGGTTTCCTAACAGGGATTTCCCTGCTTGGTGATTTCACACCACCAAATAACGACAAGCGTGGCGTGCCCTAGCTAGGGAACCTGCTGGCTTTTAGGTTTTTTTCCAGCAGGCTCCCTGCCCAACTTGGGGCTCAACTCACAACCCTGAGATCGAGAGTCATGTGCTCCACCAACCAAGCCAGCCAGGTGCCCAGGGAGCCCGATAGCTTTTTTTTTTTAATAGTTTATTTTTGAGACAGAGACAGAGCATGAGCAGGGGACGGGCAGAGAGAGAGGGAGACACAGAATCTGAAGCAGGGAGCCCGATGGCTTTTTAACAGGCATTCTCACACGGGGGGGGGGGGGGGGAACCTTCTTTGCATTAACCCAAATCACCCGCCAGCCTACCCTTTGGGTCTACCCTTCTCCCATTCACTCCTCCAGCACCTACTGAACACCTAGGGGCCAAGCAGGTAACCGCTCTTCTCTAACTTTACCTGCTTCTCCGACGGCCCGGAGTCCTTTCCCTGGGCTGCTCTCCACTCCCGAGCCATTTCTGCATACTTCTCCTTTTCTTCCTCCCTCAGGAGCTTGGGGGGACATTTCGGGGGACAGAAAGGTGAGAGGCAGCAAGGCGGACCTGGCGCCCCGGGCCCCGGAGGCGGGAGCCTAGGCTTTCCAGGCGGTTCCGCGTCGGTGTGCCTTATGGCGGGAACAGGGGGGCTTCCCTTCCCTCCAGCAGGCGCCGCGGGGTCCCCAGTGCCTTCGAGGCCCCGCTCCTTCCCACCTCGCCCGCCCACTTGCCCAACCGCCCGGCCCCCCGCTCCCTGCCGCCTTACCGCCCAGTCAGCAGAGCAGTAGGGGATGGCGTCGGGCACGCGAGCCACGGGCAGGCCTCGCCGCCGTAGTTCGGGGATCTTCTCCTGCACGAAGAAATAGTAGGCATTACGGCTGGCCCTGCGGTTTGGCATGGCGAGCGAGGCCGGGATTCGACGCCGAGCGCCTGAGACACCACAAGCCACCGGCGCCCTCGCCGGGCTCCCGCCCTTAGTAACGAGGTGGGCGCCTGCGCGCGAAGGCCTGCAGCTCCCAGCCAATCAGGGCGCGGGGCGCAGCCGCTCTGGCCTTGCTGGGAGAAAAACAGCCTGAGGCCGACTCGTGGGGCGGTGGGGGCGGGGCGTGGCGGGAGAGCCGTCACAGGTGCAGAGCGCTCTGATTGGCTGGGGTGAGGCGTCGGGGAGCGTGCTGTCACGTGGCCTTCCACGCGATTCCTATACATTATTGCGTAATGGGTGTCAAAGCGGGTAGAGGAAAAGAGGTCTGGAGAGTTGTTCAGGTTCTTTCGTGGTTCACACGCGTGAAAGGCCGCCTCTGGGTCAGGCCCTGTGAGAGGTGTTGGGTGGGGGAAGGAGTGGGGAGCGCGGCAAACAAGATCTTTTCCCTCAAGAGGTTTACAGTCTATTGGGGAGCGTTTGAGGGGAAAGATGACATAACACATGCATAACGGGGAGGAGTCGTTACTTTCTCGTTTCCCCCCATTCTTAAGTTACACTTGCTATAGTTGCAAAGAACGTGGGTTTTCTAAATGCAATATGCAGTATGTTAGAAAGAAAACCTACAATAAGAAGCTGAGATTTAAAATAATGTCCCTGAAAAAATAAAACATAACGTCCTTGAATAAAATCTTATAGATGTCCTCATAAACGTCATGTCCTTTTTGTTAGTTTTATTTCTGGGAATTATTTGTAGCTATTACGGAAACTTGCATCTTTTAACTGGTTACTACTGGTGTATACAGAAGGTTTTGGGTTCAGTGTTGATTTTGTGTACTTAGTGCCCATTGATTTTCTTGAATGTTCTAGTTATATATGCTTCACAGAGAAATCCCCTTCCGGTTCAGTTTATTAAGCATGTATATACATGTTGATATATGGGGTGTTTTTTTTTTTAAACTATATTTTATTTTTGAAAGAGAGAGAGGGACAAAGTGTCTGAAGCGGGCTCTGCACTGAAAGTAGAGAGCGTGATGTGGGGCTGGGACTCACAAACCGCAAGATCACAACTTGAGCAGAGGTCTGAGCGCTCAACCTACTGAGCCAACCTGATACATATGTTTTTAAATCAAGCATAGGAGTTGAAAACTTATTCAATGCTTTCTGTGGATTGTTTCAGGTGATCATATGGTTTTATTCTTTAATTTGCTAATATACATGATATTGTTGCGGGGGGGAGGCACCTGGGTGGCTCAGCAGATTTGAAGAGCCAAAAATTAAGTCCTCCATTAAGAGCAACCTTGGGCTGCACGTAGCCCCAATTCCAGTTCCAGGAAAAGCCTCAGATTGTTCATGGCTAAAGCCATCCTCGGACCGCCTCAGATCAGCTAATCAAAAAACATGCCTATGGTCTGAGTCAAGGCTGGGAACTGTAGACAGTTATTTTATACAAACTAGCCAATTTCTCACCGCTTGCCTGCACCCCACGTGGGCCCTTTGAACTCACTTCATAACTGGTCATTTTCAAAGGATTCTCAAAAGTCGTGATTGGGTCCCACCAAAAGTAATGAACACCTCACAGATACTGAATGGTCAAAGCTGTTACCATGGGTGCTGCTGTACAATTGTAATTGGTGCTTATGTGATGATGCTATATGTACTGTAACACCCCCATCCCTTACTCCTTAAAAACCCTGTTCGCTATTGTTCTTCACTCCACCTTGCTGCGCAGGTAGGCGGGTGAGCCCCGGCTCAAGCTTGTAATAAAGACCCTTTTGTACTTGCATCGGTGTCGGCTCCTTAGGGGTCTCAGGGGACTCGCGATTCGGGCACAACAGATTAAACCTCCAACTTCTGCTCAGGTCATGATCTCAGTCGATGGGTTCAAGCCCCACATCGGGCTCTGTGCTGACAGCTCAGAACCTGGAGCCCACTTCAGATTCTGTGTCTAAATTATACCTTAAAAAAGTTGATTTAAAACCCAAAAACTTTATTGGCATAAAATAATATTTGCTTATATTTAAAAATATACGTATTCTAATATTGCCTCCCCTTTTCATTCCTATTATTACTTACACATTTTGTGTTTCTTCCCGTTAATATTTGCCAAATTTTATTTTATTGATCTTTTAAAAAAATAGGTTTGCATTTCATTGGTGAAATGTAGTTTCCCTTTTCATTTTAATTTCAACTTTAAGTTAATGAACACCATCTTTCTGCTTATTAGCGGCTATTTTGTGTTTTTTTCCCCTAGTTTCCTGATTAAAAGCTTCATTCAGTTATTTTCTATTTATATTTACTATCTTTAGGTTTCTTATTTTTCCTTTTTCTGCTTTAGTAAGATTGACCAGTATTTTTTACTATACATTTTCTTTTGTTGGTTTCAAGTTATACATTCTATTTTACTTCATTCAGTGGCTACTCATAAATGTTTAAGATACTTGCATTAAAATGTATTTTATAACAATATGGTATATATTATTATTGTATATGTTACTGAGTAACATACACACTCTTCCCAAATAGACTAGAAGTTTAGGAAATTATTGCTTTCTCCCACTTAGTTTCCCAACTCATTCCTTCACCACCCCACTTCTGTCTAGCATGGTGGCATCATCTGGGATTTTAGTTCTAGGTTGCTTTGTTATACTAATGTTGAGACATGATTGAAGACTAGCTGAAGACTATGTCTAAAGCATACAATTTGATGAGCTTTGGCATGTGTGTACAACTGTGAAGCTACCATCCCCATCAAGATAATGAACATATCCATCCCTAATTCCTCACCACCCCCTTAGGCTGCTTGAAGTTGCCGGAGGTTCACTGATGCTCTGTTTGTTTTTGCCGTCAGTCTTTTTTCTCTGATTTTCATTTTTGCAATTTCTGTTACTATTTCTTCATGTTTGCTAATCTTTTCTTCTGTAATGTCTAATCTGCTATTAATCCCATCCAGGGTGGGAGTTTTTTGTTTTTTGTTTTTGTTTGTTTTTGGTATCAGATCATTTAGTTTTCATCTCTAGAATTTGATTTGAATCCTTCTTATATTTTCCACATTTCTACTTAACATGGTCTATCTTTCCTCTATCTTTAGTGTGGAATGTGGTTATAATATGGACTATAGTTATAACAACTCTTTTCTTTTTCATTTTTTTAATGTTTTATTTATTTCTGAGAGAGAGAGAGAGAGACAGCGTGAGCAGGGGAGGGTCAGAGAGAGGAGATAGAGAATCTGAAACAGGCTCCAGGCTCTGAGCTAGCTGTCAGCACAGAGCCCGACGCGGGGCTCGAGCCCACGAACCGTGANGAGAGAGAGAGAGAGAGACAGCGTGAGCAGGGGAGGGTCAGAGAGAGGAGATAGAGAATCTGAAACAGGCTCCAGGCTCTGAGCTAGCTGTCAGCACAGAGCCCGACGTGGGGCTTGAACCCACGAACCATGAGATCATGACCTGAGCTGAAGTCGGATGCCTAACTGACTGAGCCCCCAGGCGCCCCACCAACTTTTAAATGTCCTTGTGTACTTATTCCATCATCTGTGTCATTTCTGGGTCTGTTTCTACTGGTTGATTTTTCTCCTTATTATGGGTTGTATTGCCCTGCATCTTTGCAAGCCTAGTGACATTTGATTGGCTTACGGTTGTAAATTTTATCCTTTAGAATGCTGCATGTTTTTGTGATCTTATAAATGTTCTTGTGCTTTTTCTGGGACAGGGTTGTTATTTGGAAACAGTTCAATGTAGTTTTTTCTCCTTTTGAGACTTACTTTTCTGCTTTGTTATTTGGAATCAGAGCAACCTTTAGGGCTAATTTTCTCCTCTTCAGATATAATACCCTTCTTAGTACTCTCCCTGCCTGACAACCCATGAATTTGGAAGCTTTTTTCACTTTGGCTGAAGGGAACACAAACAATTTCTAGCCCTGTGTGAATTTCAAGGATTGTTCCTTCTAATCCTTTCAGGTTGTTCTTTCCCTGGCACTGTGTAGTTTCCTCCCACACATGCACTGATCAGTATTCAGCTGGAGCTTCAAGGGAGGTCCTGAACAGATTTCCAGAGCTCTTTCTTTGTGCTGTTATCTATTTTCTGGTACTCTGCCCTGCAAACTCTAGTCACTGTGGCCTACCTAGCCGCCCACTCCATCTCCTCAACCTACGGAGACCACAGGGCTCTGCCTCGGTTGCCCTTCTTGCTGCCTTCGGGGTACTCTCTCCAGGCCCCAACCTGGGGCAATCACAGGGCTCACCTTTTTGTTCCTGTTCTTTCAGGGGTTCCTCACCTCTGCTCCCTGATGTCCAGTGTCTGAAAACACTGCTTTATAAATTGGATCAGACTTTTGGTTGTTTAAGCCTGCTGGATAAGCACATTCCCTGTTACTCCATCTTGGCCAAGATTGCCGTATCTTATTTTAAACATTTAAAACAATATTTAGATCCGACTGCTAAATTTTTAGATTTGTGATCAGGACACGTCTCTCTGAGGAGATGCCATTTAAAATGGAAAAAAAAAAGCCAAAGAATAGAGCTAGTCGTGTGAAGAGTCACAAGGAGAGCATTCTAGACAGAGGGAGAAGCATATGTAATGGCCTCAGACAATAAATGGCGTGGTGTACTGGTGGCTGTTGCAGCAGCGTGTCCACTCAGGCGGGGAAGGTGCGAGCTGAGGATGAAGGGATCAGCAGGGATTTGCACATGGCAATGTCAAGGGTTCAAGTATTACTAAGAGCATGGGTGGCCATTGAAAGATCCTCTTATGAAGTGTCGTGATACGGTTTACAGCCGAAGAAGATCCGTCTTGGTGCTATTTGGAGACTAGGTTCAGGACAGCGAGAGTGGGCCCAGGGATACTAGGTAGGAAGTCCCCTGAGTCCGTGTGAGAGATGATGGTGACCTAGAGCAGAAGAGAAGCAGGAGAAATGATGGCTTCAAATTGTACTTTGGGGAAAAAAGAACTAACGGATGGGTTGGATGTAGAAATGAGAGAAAGGGAGGGATCCTAGGGTTTTGGCTTGGGTAACCCGGTGGCAAGTCGTGTCTTTTTTCTAAAATAGCAAGGACTGGGGGAGGGGCGACAGTGCCAGTGGCAAAGAG